GCAAAACAAAATGCTGATACTGTTCTCCGGTTTTGCAAGAAATAAAAACTTTCAGTATCGAAATAAGTCACTCACTGGAGACCTTCAGTAGCAGTGCAGGGCCCAGAAGAAGGAGAACCAACTGTAAAGAGACACTGGAAGAAGATTCCAGCAACGCAAACAGGTTAAGCTACGTGTTCAAGCAGTTGTGATACATTAGAATGGCAAATGCCCAAAATTCCTACCACAGTTATATAGGAAAAGGACTTTCAGTATTTTATGGGCAGAAGAACTGTAGAGGCAGCAGGGAAATGTGTGCTAGCTCATATGTAGAAGGGTGGGAGGGAGCTGGGGACTTTTCTGTCAAGCAGGGTAAAACAAGCCTTGCATTTGCTGACTTGCCAGGAATAGAATCATACTTCAGCTGTGCTACTGTGAGCCCAAATGCTAAGCCAGTAAGGAACCCCAGACATAATGCCTTGCTTTAACCTTGCATTTCCCACAACAGCCTTCTAATGCCTTAAATATGTGACATGGTAAATTAGAAATCATTTTAAAAAATACAAACAGAAAAGCACCCCACATTGAGCCATACCATCCACAATATTAAGGCCACGTATCAGAACTCTATGTTAATATAAGATTTCATTAACTTAAAAGTTTAACTGCATTTGGCTAATCATGCAGTATTTTTAATTATTATTATTTGTATTATTTTCCATGTAGTCATCAGGACCGGAGTTGAACTTTGATATTACTTGCGGGTGGATCAGCAAACAGCACAATCCTGTATCATTCAGGAGGCAATTTAATGGGATTTACTTCTCAGTAAGAATTGCTCTGTAATGTCTTGTTTGCTTGCATGCAAATAAACCACAACCTGCATTATTCACAAGTTGTACAACCGTCAGTTGTTTTCCAGGACTATGGGGAGTAAAGCAAATTAACAACAAATAATTTTATTATAAATGTAATGGGTAAAAATAGCAATTTCACTGTTGCTCTGTGCATCTCAGAATTACTCAGAAGTAATTTCCATTGTACTGAATGGTGCTTATTCCCAGACTGAAGTATTCAGGATTGGAGCCCTTGTATCCCAAATAAATATTGCCTTTTCATAAATAGAAATAACCACAGGTCATGTACATATGGTTCCTTGTGTAAATAATTGGTTTAATCATTAAATAAACTTGAAAATGCTGTGAATGCGATTCACAGGCACAGGATTGAAATAAATAGGAGGTGTTGACTCCAGTGAGATGTGGTTCCCCTCTCCCTGCCTAACATTCCTCATCACTCTGATGCCACTTTTATTTTGCTTTCTGAATTTCCCACTATCTGTGGACTGTCCATTTACTTCTTTTGGATAAGCAAGAGAAAGAGGGCATCAGTCTGAGTCCTGTGTATTTTTCTCATAAACTCTATTCATCAGGGAAAATAGCTCCAGAAAAATGTTTAAGATAATGTTAGTGATATGCCACGGACTAGATTGGTTTGTAGTTTGTTTTATGCTTCACTATTTTATCTGGACAAATATTTATATATTTTCAGATGACTTGGGACATTTTCTAATTTTCCTGTGCTGCAGAATCACCAAAAATGTCCATGACTGAAATTCAAAAAGTATACATAATCCATTACCATGCTTGAATAAAATGAAACTATGCCCCATGGTTATTATTAAAATTATGTGACTGAATGAAGATGAGAGAGTTAAACTTGTACATTTTGTAGAGCTATCATTGACATAATAAAATATTCTCATAATATGGATTTTTTTTCAATGATTGGCTGTTTTAAATGACAAATGATGTAGGAAAACTGCCATTTTCTTTGTTTTAAAAACTTATATGTAACTGATTGTGGAGCATACAAGGAATTTGTATGCTTCTTTAAAGTGAAGAAGAAAAGGAAAGCAAGAAGGAAAAAATATTGGTTCAAGTGTAAACCATCTTAATAATTCTTTATGGAGTGATTAATTTCCTAGACAGTCTCTTCAAATAATCTAAAATATGAACAATGGTGGGGATTTTTTGCAAAGAGTATTACTTTTATTGTTCTAAATTAAAGTTACAGATATATTGCGTATTTATTTATACATTTATTTATACATTTTCTCTGAAGTCTGATTTCTTTTTGTATATCACTGAGATTTTGAAAATATTTTTTTCCAGAAAACAGAATTAAGCAAGAGAGAACAATTGTGCATGGTCTTTTCTTAGCAATTTTAGAAAGTGTAAATTCATTGAATTAAGTAAAGCTATTCTGCTTTTTGTACAGAATAGGAAAAAGGAAGGAAAGAAGGAACTCATTGTTTTGAAATCATATGACATCTTCTTGCCTTACTAAGTTTAGAACAAAGAATTGCATATGTATATCCAATGCATTTCAAATGCAGTTAAGGGCCATATATACATGCTCTCTAGAATACCTAACCCTGGACAATTGTTACCATTTAGGGTTAAAGAAAAACACGTAGTGGAAAACTGAACTAAATTACCATTCATTATGTATTCTAAAACTATAGAAATGTATGATACAAATTCTACAGCCATATCCGGAAAGCCCAAAGGACTATTTTTAGAGGAAAAAAAGTTGTCTATTTAGTTTTTCAGTATTTAAATGGGTGTGCTTTGAGAAATAGCCCAGTGAAGATTCATTGAGATGAATAGGACAAGCACAAGATGTTTTTTTATAAGGTTTGTCCCATTCTGTAATGTCTTGTATCTGCTCAGTATAGGATAATGAGCAGCATGTTACAAAGAAATAAATATGCTTACTGCAGAGTGTTAATATATCTTCTGAGAAAATTTGCCACTATTAAAGTTCTACAATTCCACATGCATTCAGATAAAATTTAAATTCCATTTACTGCTAAACATGTTCTTGAGGAAGGACTTAGAATGGGCCATGGTACAGTACTAATATTATCTTACTAAGATGAATTTTAAGTAGTGATTAATATTTTAAAATGGAATATGTTTTAAAAATTGATCTACTAATATTTTGTTATCACCTTCCTAGCTTTATGTAATATGTCAATGCCTAAAGTTAACAATTAGGTTTAATATTAAAAGTAAAAAAAATCTGGACAGTATGGTTTTGGTGGTCATGCTTATTTATTGTGTAAAAAAAATGGGTTTTTCAGGAGCAACAACATATTTTTTGGTAAAAAGGAACATAAAGAAAAAAATCTATCTAGATTTTATAAAGATGTATCGTATTAGAAGTTGTTTGGGTTCTTATATTCCATAAAAACTTAAAGCGTAATATCTTAGTGACCATATTATGAAATTATTTGATGGTATCTGGGTTTCTGTCTGTTTATCCAGCTTTTTCTTTCTTTACAACTTTCTAGAATTAATTGTTTTTCAGAACGGGATTTTTTTTCAAGGAATATATTTATCCCCATTTAGTAATGAACATGGTACATTAAGGAGTTTTACAGAGCATTGTAGTCTTCCACAATATGTTCACTGGCTTTTATGCTGAAAAAAATATGTAAGCAATTGCAATATAAAAGTTTAGTTCCTTTGAATATCCAGCTTTATAAATTATATTATCCTTTTCTCCAACATAATTTGTACCACTGTTTAAAATTAGCAACCGTTAGTAATACTTCACAAATTTTAAAATATTATTACAAATGTCCTTGGCATTCTTCTGGAGCAGCTGCATGGTTTTAACAGATATCAAGACAAATCAGCTGTTCTCTTATGTTTCACTTAAATAAGAAAAAAAAGTCAGAATGATGGTGAGAAAGATACCAAATTTCTTACATGAAATAGGAACCATGGAAATCCATTGGATTGACTTCCAAAAGTGTATTAAATCTGAGAAGTTAAGAGTTGAGTCCTTGTCTTTTGAAAGCAATATTGTGCACAGGAAAAATATGGAAATATATTCTGTATGAAATGTCTTTAAAATAGTTGAACAATACTTCCTTAAAGATTTGTCTGATACATGAACAATAATTCTGAATTTCTTAAGAGAATAACTTAATGTGCCAAATTAATGTCACAATTTATCTATCTGTTGTTCTGTGCTCTTTAAACCTGTGTGCCAGACAGTATGTCAGTATGGAATCTGGTTGTGAAAAGCAATTTCATATGTTCATTTTGTATATAATATTAGTCTTGGACTAAAAAAAAATAAAATCAAAACTTGATTACTTGTTTACAGAAATGCTTTCCATTTGTTTGACAGTTTGTAAGAATTGCTCTGAAGCATAGTTAAAAGCACAAGCTTGTGAAAATAGAAATTCATCATAAAAAATTCTGCTCCTCCCCAAATATGTCTTAGCATTTGATCTTTTTTCCCACGTCTTTGCTGTAATTAAAATAAGATTGCCTTTTAAAATGTTATCCTTTGCAAACTGCTTGGTGGTGTTAAGACATAAACAGTTGTGCACATTGAATTCTCTGCAACTAATATGAAAGCACTATTACATTCCCACTTTTCTTCCCATATTCCAGCTTCTGCTTCTAGTAAAATCAGCAAAATTTGTACGTGACTGCCTTTCACATTCCCTTTAAGGTAAGTTAACTCCAGTGGCTATATTCAAAAGATAATTTTTATAGTATTTTACAGGTTGGACAAATTTAATGTAGGTATAACATAGCTGATGAAATGTAATTTATCTCTTTCACTATTTACTTCAAAATTAAAAGGCATGGGTGTGGGATGCGGTTTTCTTTCCTTTTTCTCCCTACTATATTATTCTGCACGAGTGTGTATAAATGTCCTCAGCCATTTTGTCTTCACTGGCCCATCTGATCTTTAAAGTTGATCTTACTCATCAAAAAAGTAACAGGCACTGAATTTCCCTGGGCAAGTTTGCCTTATCAGAGTAATTATTGGAAAACAGCACATTTCTCAAGCCTCTCTATTGGAACATAACATTTTAGACACTCAACCATTTTTGGTTACAGGCATGGTTTTATAAGGGAATTATCAGGCAGACAGCAAATAGGCATTAATATTATCAATCTATCTAGTAAAAAGAAATTATGAAAACTCACCAGTGCCCTTCTTCTCCAGGAAGATGTCCCCGTCAGCACCTGCTGAGGGTTTTGTTGATTAAACTGACAGGTAAAAAATTCCTGTAGAATAAAGCCAGACCAGCTGGCTTTGAAGAGAAACCCCCCAGGTTGGGTCCTGTTTGCCTCACTCACCCTCTGCACCGAAGACAGGAGCTTTTTCCCCTTTGCTGTTGACCTGTAAGATGCGTGATTTTCATGCACAAGTGTCTGGCAGGCCTGGGCCCACCTGCTCCTGTCACTCTGGAGTAAATTTAGCTGTAAAAGGTATCGCTGTCAACCAGACCTTTGTGAGTTCTGGCAAAAGAACACAGAATTACTCTGTCCACAAAGCATGCTGTACATTCAGTTGGGAAATATCAAATCAATAGCCCTACCCAAGAGTTGCTCCTTTTGCAGATTTAAAATAAAAAAGTTCTTCTTTACATTAGTGTAAATATCTCATTTCCAAGCCTTAAAACAAGGCCATAGTTTGTAATTTTACTGCAGCTAGAATATAACTGTCAGCAGGCCTGGGAATCCCAGATTGATACGAAGGCAACCAAGAGGGTGGTTTGATTGTGTTTGTTGCCACTGTGGGGGATGGGGTGGGGTGGGTTTAAGGGTTTTATACTGTGGATTTTTAATGTTGTAAGCTGCCTGGAATCACCATGTGTGAGCTGTGAAGCCATATTAATTTGTTTAATAAAATAACTACACTTTTTAAAATGGAAAATTTGTTGATATCTTTTATTTTAAATCACTTAAGTACAAAAGTGGATGGCTTTCCTTTAACTTCTTTTTAATTTAATTCAAAGAAACATTACAAACTTAAAACGTCTCAAAGAGAAGTCATGGTATTCTCAGAATTGCCAAATATATCTAATGAAAGATTGCCAAAGCTAGGCAATTATGCCATGAAATATGTAAAAAATTAATAACCAGATTGTTAGCATATTTGCTAATATCTAAGGAAGCATTTATTCCTTCAAAACTCATTTTGAATTTTATTAATCTTCTGAATGCCATCTCCTCTTAGTTTCTCCCCATCTTATGACAACTTAACACTGGAAAGGAAACAGATACCTCTCTTTTTTCTGAATATCTTGTCACAATGTATGAAAGGTTATGTCAGGGATAAAGTGCCAGCCAACTGAGTTGCTTCTTGAATAAGCAAGTTCTGTTCAGCCTGGGTTTGGCAGGAAATTGCACAAAGTGGTTCATGTCACAGCCCTAATTGTATTGTGTTAAAAAGGTATGGGAGAGAAAGAATGAAGGGTGTTAACAAAAAAAATGTCTAGGTCACAGGCTTTTTGTCAAATAAACAAGCTTCCTATTTACTTACTACATATAAACAGCTACTGTACTCACCAAACTCTATTTCTCTGCAGGGTACCACTTTGAGATGAAAACAGGGACCTGATTGGCATCATTTGGTATCCATAGAAACATGGTAAGTACCTCTCCCTGAGTGAATGTCTCTTATTCAAGATATAAAGGCTGAATACTGGGTAAGTGAGTGTTTTCATTTAATAATTATATGGGAGAAACTTTTTAGAAGCCTGCTAAGGGGAAACAGGTTCCTGGTTGTTGCGTGCGCTGTAACAAAGCCCTTATGTTTGCATCATATATATTTTTTTAAATAATGTGTTTTGGGTTCAAACCCTCCATCATTCCTTTTTTCCCTCTCTAAATACAAACACCCTTCGTAAAGTCCTAATGAATAGAAATTCAAAACTTTTTGAAGCTCCATTAGTATTGGAAAGTACTAATCATTGTTCTTTGTTTTATTAGTATTTAGAGCACAGTTTTCATCCTTTTACATTAGATTCTGCCTCTTTTCCATCAACTAAATAAAACAGACCATTAAGAAGGTTGGGGGAAAAAAGTATTCTTTATTTGCAGTGTTATCCCAGTAACATGAAATCACTGAACAGAAAGAGAAGATAGAATTGCATACACTAAGTTTGAAATTAAAATTTAAACATCAGAAAAATGGATAAACTGTAAGTATGTACATATATATAGTCTCCAGTTATTGATACAAATTCTTAGGAAATGATTTAGACATTAGGTGTCGTCAGTTCAAGATAGAGCAGACTAACAAAATCATGTAGACCAGTTACTGTTATAACTTCACAATAAGTTTTGCGGATTAGAATGTGCCTCTCCTTTTCCTTTCTTTTTCTTTGTGTGAACTAGGAGGGCCTGTACAAAACATTTATGTAGTTCTGCCCTGTATTCAGATTTGTTCTATCTGCCCATAGCCTTGGCAACAGCTCTTCCTCCTGTCCCTCAAGTCCATCACAATTTCAGCCTTACAAGTTTAAATAATGAAAATTAAGCACTTACCAGGTTTTTCTAAATATTTATTTATTCTAAATATCAGTAGATCAACTTATGAACCTCTGTGTCAATAGGCTACAAGGATATATGGCTGTGGGAGAACCGAGCCTTTGTGAGTCAGAACTTCATTGTTATCCAGTGTTATCCAATAGCTTAAGGATGCTTTTGTAAGGGGGACCCCTTTTTACTCCTTGCAAATGTAGAGTATTTGGGACATACATATCACTCAAGTGTTGTTGTTTTTTGTCAAAACAGAGAAGTTTTCACAGATACTGGGGAACCCATTTGGCCTCTAAATGAGCTGTAAGTCCTGGATGACATGGAATCAACATGGCTACCCACAAAAACTTCTCGGGTACAGATACCATTCTGAACATTATCAGCAGGAGTTATGCAGTGCTCTTTTGTGTTGAATGCTCTGCATTTGCAAGGAGTAAAGAAGACTGGGAAATCTGCCTAAAACTCATTATTTAGTAAGAGAATAAAGGGAGAAAACTGTTTTATGTCTTTGAATCAATTACAAGTTTTAAAAATTAAGAATAATATTCTTTTTGTGACATTATTTTATACTCTTATTATAGTAGTTGTGATTATAGTCAGGAAATGAAAAACTAGATATGCATTTTAACTATTAGCAGCAAAATAACCTAGTTACTGCAATAACAACATCCAGTGACATATTTAAACTATCGTAAGGGAGGAAAAAAGTAATACTTAACAGTATGAAATCTTGCAATTCCATATGCAAGATGTTGAACTATTTCCTTCAGGGTTTCAGGTGAACTGACAATTATCAATGCCATCTTTTAATATGAAACATCTATTGAAAATTACATTCATTTTGCAATGAATCCCACTGATAACCTTAAATACTCTTGAATTACAGCCTCAGTTAGGTAAACAGCATTTTCTCAACCTGTACTAGGATCTTACATTCACATTTCATTTTATATAACCATTACAAGGACATATTTCTCTATAGAAAGATGCAATGGAGGTAACTGAAATCCAACTGGTTTAGAGTTCTGGCTTCCCTATTTTTATCACTCTGCATATTATTTTCATTTACTTTCTTTATTGTTTTTATTTGCTAACTTTTCTCAGCAACCCATCCCTGCTGAGTGCAGATGGCATGAATGATCTCACAGATTCTCTGCTCAATAAGCCAGAATGGTATTACAGACATTCTATATTAAACTTCTTTTACTTCACTAAAAATGCTGCTTTACCACATGCCTGCTTCATATTCTCCTGCATTCTCTAAGTCTCTTCCTCTTTCTGTTTTACAATTATCAGAAGTTTTATTTAAGAATTCTAACATTTACTTGATATACTACTGGATCTTTTAGAGTTTCAAATAATCAGACAGCCTATGTGATTTTTTTGTAGTGCCCTAATGTGCAGAAACATATTCTAACGAGGGTGGCCATTTTAGGATATATATGTTATGCACTTCAAATGCTTGCTTTGTTTAAAATGGGGTTGGTAAAAAATATGTATCACCAGCAGTACATAACTATTGCTTACTCAATAGAAAGCTATGAGCTATTATCTACTTAAACATGTCCCATTACATCTGCCTATCTGTTTGGCTACTTATTTAAATATAAAAAAAATTAAAAAGAGATGGCTTCCAGAGTCCTATAAATTATTTTCCTGCTTAGATGATAAATTTTACTCATTTCCCCCTCTTTTCATTGTCCAATATTTCTGTCTAACGCCATGATAGGTGATAGAGGAATATAAAGATGTAGGATTTCCTAGAGGCTATTGCAGATAACTATGTCTATATCTCCTTCTGCCATTTCATTATTTTAAACAGTGCAAAAGAACAAAGGAGAAGAGCAAGGGGAAAAATAATTTTCCTTTTTTCCTTCCAGTGCATTGCATCCCCATTATAGTTCTTACCTATGTCTAAATTGAGGATAAGGAAAGGAAAAGGAGTAAGAATAAACTTTTAAATAGCTAGACTATTGGTAGAATACAACATTTTTCTAATTCTTTGGATTAGCTACAGTTTCATTTCTTAATTTTCATGTCTCATTTTTTTTTCTTCTGGTTAAAAAATTCTGAGTCAGTCTAAGACTAGCTTCAGAAAATTCACACATTTATAAAACGACTGCCAGTTACTATAGTATTGCAGTAATTGCAAACCTATTCTTTGAATGTCAGTCCTTATGTAGACAATGTCTATATAAAATCTATGCACTGAAAGAAAAATATCAGAAAAATTAGATACTTGTGAAATTAGCAAATGTAAATCAACCAATTTAACTAAAGAACTTGGTGAATATGCAGTATTCTCAGTGGCTGAGTGACTTTTGCAGCAGAGAATGGAATGGAGTATTTGAAGAGGGATATTCTGAAGAGCCCTCTATACAGGAAAACTCCTAGCTATAATATGATATGGTTCTGTTTGTTATGATAATATATTTATTATACTTCCTAAGAAAATTTTAGGCAGTGTAATTGCTGTTACGTCTCTTATACACAGGGCCATAGATATTCAATAAAGTAACATTCAAAGGAGAAAAAAGAGAATACGATAAAGAGACAGAATACAATAAAGGAAAACAGGTAAGTAGCTAACAGAAAGACATCACACAAAACATATATCCAATGAGCAATGATCTTAAATAGGAAGGTCTTCATTTATACAGAAGGTTTTTGTTTTTGTTTTTTGAGGGGGCATGATTAAATATGTTGAATTTACAAACAAATGTATATATTTCTTCTACTGAAAATGCATATGTTTCTTCTCCCTCCCCCCTTTATTTATAACAATAACAAGGTTGATGAATTTCAACAAAGAATGTTGATGTAAGAAATGTAGACATACAGTAGTAG